TACTCGTGAGTCTTGAGCAGCGGGTGTGCGAAGCAGAGCCAAGGCAGCTGTTTCCTGAACTGGGGCATGATGTAGTGTGTCACCACCCCCACCGCACCGGCTACAATCAGCAGTACGTTTGTCACCGAGGGCTGCAGAAACAACAAGAGTCAAGAGTGAAACATAACGTCAGGAATAACTCTACGGGGCATGATGTAGTGTGTCACCACCCCCACCGCACCGGCTACGATCAGCAGTACGTTTGTCACCGAGGGCTGCAGAAACAACAACAGTCAAGAGTAAAACATAACGTCAGGAATAACTCTACGGGCATGACGTAGTGTGTCACCACCCCCACCGCACCGGCTACGATCAGCAGTACGTTTGTCACTGAGGGCTGCAGAAACAACAAGAGTCAAGAGTGAAACATAACGTCAGGAATAACTCTACGGGGCATGATGTAGTGTGTCACCACCCCCACCGCACCGGCTACGATCAGCAGTACGTTTGTCACCGAGGGCTGCAGAAACAACAAGAGTCAAACATCTTCAGAAATAACCCTACTACATGGTGTTGATTCCAAGAAAGCACAGCTGTGTAGAGCTGGTTTAACTAAAAAAAAAAAACAGTTAACTGGATATGATTTTGGAAATGGTAGCATCCACTACCTTTTGTCAGTGAGAGAGTTGTCAGACAAGCAGGTTTATAAGTATGGACAATTGATTCACTACAAGTCACTTGGATGGAGGCCTGGCAAAACCCGTCATGTATTAGTCACGTAGTGAGTTACAGTGTGAAATTTATGTAACACGAATGGAGATCCTGATAAAACAAACAAACAAACAAACAAACCTGTAGCACAGTAAACACGGTGCTGACGTGGATGGCGAACACCAGCATGGCGATGACGGAGCAGACGATGGCGTCAGACTTGAGGCGGGAGGCGACGGACTGGCGCAGCTTCTCCGGCAGCGGGTCCACCACGTCCGACCTCTCATCATCATCTGACTTCTCCTCCTCCGCAAACAGCCAGCGACTCAACACCTGGGGGTGGGGGGTGGGGGGGGGAGGTGTTAACTGTACTGTGTTCTACCCATGCTCCATGCAGAGCATAGGGTTTTGGTGCCCATGTCCATTTCCGTAGCCCTTGGGCGACACACAGTTGTGCAGGGCACTACAGCAGGGGGCTAGTCCGCTGGTAGTGCTGTGTGCTTGACCTTTCCACACTCTTTCTCATATGTGCTAAGCAGAGAAAGAAGAAGAAGTGTGTACCATTTTTCAAAGTATTTGGTATGACCCGGCCGGGTTTGAACTCACGACCTCCCGGTTACAAAGCGAGCACCAATTGAGCTATTGCACTGGTCTTATTAGGCCACACTGATTTAATTCTATGGAAGACATCCACATGCGCATTGCTTTTTCGCTTGTTTCCCAAAATCTTTTTTACAAATCACCTCCTCCAAGACTTTGGCCCGAGTGCCATCTTCCGTAGTGGATGATAACTGGCGACAACAGAGAGTCAGTACGGTAACTGTGGAGGATGGCACCCAGGCTACCGAAGCTCCACGTAACTCAAGAACAGTACAGTGCCAACTCGTTAATGCCGCAAGAGGCTAGCAGCATGTGCTAGCTTGTGGTAAAAGTCACTATGTGCTACCGCAAATTCACAATTATACCAGCTTCACATAAACAACAGACAACCCACCTGCCAGAGGACGGACAGGTCGGAGGTACATCTGCTCAGGTGATATGCCATGGCAACAAGCAGTCCACAGAACACGGAGAACAGCACATGTTGGGAGGACAGAACCGTGTCCTGGAGGGGGGAATCACAGGTTAGTAACACCATAGTAACGCTATAGTAACGCCATGGCAACAAGCAGTCCACAGAACACGGAGAACAGCACGTGTTGGGAGGACAGAACCGCGTCCTGGAGGGGGGGGGGATCACAGGTTAGTAACACCATAGTAACGCTATAGTAACGCCATGGCAACCAGCAGTCAACAGAACACGGAGAACAGCACGTGTTGGGACGACAGAACCGCGTCCTGGGGAGGGGGGGGGAATCACAGGTTAGTAACGCCATAGTAACACCATAGTAACGCCATGGCAACAAGCAGTCCGCAGAACACGGAGAACAGCACGTGTTGGGAGGACAGAACTGCGTCCTGGGGGGGGGGGAATCACAGGTTAGTAACACCATAGTAACGCCATGGCAACAAGCAGTCCGCAGAACACGGAGAACAGCACGTGTTGGGAGGACAGAACCGCGTCCTGGTAATAGAGATAGACGGGGTTAGAATGATCTTTAACCTTTTGCCTGCTAAGGTAGCTGGATTGTTTAGCAATGGGCAGTAGGGAGGTTAACTTGTCCTGGTATAACAAAAGGTAGTCCCATAGCCTTTTGAGGCCAAAGGAGCAGTGGGTTGTTGAACCACTGTGGCTAGGGTGTGGCATAGGAAGGTGGAGCCCATCCCTCTCCTTCCACTACCTTTCACCTCCCCAACTGAGGTACCCATTTTATAGTGAGTGAGGAAAGTAGTATAAAGTGCCTTTCCCAAGGACACAACTACAATGTACATGTAAACCTTTTACTTTACATGTATATCATAACTTGTCAGGGTAGTACAATAAAGTTGCGATGCAGCATGTAGAAGTGTGACTTGAGATTACAACACACCATTTCTTGCAGAGTGACAATAACAAACAGTCTTAACAACAGCTACACGTACCCTCAGAGCGCCGAAGCAGAACCCGTAGACGAGGCCTACAGACACGAGGCTCCTGCAGACGCTGGAGAAGGCTGCGGTGAGGCTGGTGGTCGTGTGGCCGCCGAAGATGTGCGTCTCCACCTGCTCGAGCAGGTACATGGCAAACGTGTTGCACTGCGGCAGGAGACCCAGCACGAACACCAGCGGGAAACACAGCAGCAGAACTGGAAATACACAGTTATCATTACTAACTATCACTGGTTATCATTGCTAACCATCACTGACAAGTTATCATTACTAACACAAACACCAGCGGGAAACACAGCAACAGAACTGCACAGAAAACATTAATAACCATCACTGGTTATCATCACTAACCATCACTGGTTATCATCACTAACCATCACTGGTTATCATCACTAACCATCACTGGTTATCATTACTAACCATCACTGACAAGTTATCATTACTAACACAGCACTGCAGGAACACAGGGTGGTATCATTAAGCAGGGCTGGAAATACTGGGTGCATGTGCACCTTAGTGCACCCAAATTTGGAGCTGTGCACCAAGTTTTTTCTGTGGGTGCACCAGTGCACCCAATTATTAACACGTATGTAAAGATGTTAAATTTATAGTAGTATACAGCATTCTTAACATCAATGTCAGAAAAATAATAAAATCAGTCTTACCCAAGCATTCGTCAAGTGTGGTTATACATCCTTCAGTGAACCTAACACTAAACATTCACAAGATCGAACAAAATCCCTGACTTACCCATGACGAGATCCCTGGCAAACCTGAGCAGGCCGGGGTCTGTGAGAGGCTGAAGCTGGCCTGCTTACTGGTGTATTCTAACATCTAATATATAATATATACAGTACTATTGCCTGGGGAACATAGAAAGGACATCTAAAGCTTACCCATGACGAGATCCCTGGCAAACCTGAGCAGGCCGGGGTCTGTGAGAGGCAGCCCATACAGGTGGTACACGCTGAAGCTGGCCTGCTTACTGGTGTAGTCTAACATCTATATACTACTATTGCCTGGGGAACATAGTAAGGAAATCTAAAGCTTACCCATGACGAGATCCCTGGCAAACCTGAGCAGGCCGGGGTCTGTGAGAGGCAGCCCATACAGGTGGTACACGCTGAAGCTGGCCTGCTTACTGGTGTAGTCTAACAGCAGTACCAGGGAGCAGCACAGGCAGAAGTACACCGGCCGGCTGAACGCTATGATCCTGTTGTGGCCCTACAGGCGAGCGAATGAGGGAGGGATGAAGAACACACATGTACCATGGTAGCAAACACATCTTTTTGGTAGTACTGTTCAGCAGACCTGTAAAGGCTGTATCTGGCTGAAGACATTTATGGCAGAATGTGCTGTATGGAAACTGGCAAAACTTGCATTTTTCAGTTTTCACTGACTGTTTGGTCCAAGTTGCATCAGAATTTTGCCCATTGCAGACGATACCTTTTCTGACACAACATATGAAAACAACAGGTGCATATCATCCTTACATACGACCTTCAATAAGACTTCAACAAGCCAAAGTGCTGTGCACAATACAACACAGGTATTGCACATGTGCATTACATTCTGCCAAAATAGTATACTAATATTCCACATGAAGCAGAATAAAAATGTGTTCTCATTGTTTCTTTTTTGGGTGTCAAAGTTTTCAAACAATTACTGTGGTTCCATCTATGATATTGTATGAACCCTTCAATACTTACATGGACAGGGGATGCTGAGTCTGGCTGTACACTCTGTTAGTGGGGAAAAAAGTACCAGGGGTAATGAGGAAGACTTCTCATTCAAGAGGATCATACAATCATACATTAGGCCATGTTGATTTGATTATATGGATGACATCCGCGCACGCATGAATTTTCGGCCGTTTCCAAAAAAAAAGAAGTTTTCAACCATACTGTAAATCGTACAAAACAGTTGCAAAATGAGCAAAAATATACCATAAGTTACAAAAAAAATAATAAAAACTATACCAATGTCGTACAATGCAAAATCAAACATAAAAAGACGAAATTGTAAAGAAATGAACTTGAAGACTAGATTATTCGCCAAACCATATTCTGTGCCATTTGCTCAACCCTGATGACCACGTAGATTTCATAATGAAAAGTAACTTTTTTTTGCAAAACTTTTTTTTATTCGCGCGCATCAGTTTTGGGGCTCCCGGAGGATGTCATCCATATAATCAAATCAACATGGCCTTACCAGAAAGTCACAGTTACAAAAAGACAACAAAGTGCATAAGATACTAACATGACAGTTCAGCTAAGTTGGTGAATTACTGTACATGTAGAAAAGTTAAACTGTTCTCCAACCCAAAATAACTGAAAAATTGGGTCACATACATGTAGTTGATTAAGACTGAGTGAGTCAGTTGAAAATTCTTGAGAGTACAAATTTCTTGAGTAGGGGAATAGTTAAACTTTTCCAAACATGCAGATTATACTTTATTCAGGTGATAAAAGAGGTTGTTCTCACCTTAAGTAATGAGTACTGGCAGGAAGCGATGATCACACAGAAGAGGAAAATGAAGAAGTCCTGGAAGAAGTTAGCCGTGAGCAGCAGGGAGCCGAAAACTCCCACTAACATGGAGAGGAACACAGCCGCGATGTTCTCTAGTATGGTACGGTTTCTGTAAGGGAAACAGGATGGCAAGGTCTATGGTTAGTACTAAAACACAATACGATTGCAGAACGTTGATGAAGGTTAGACATCCAGGTAATAAGATACCAAAGTAACAGTCACTCAAGCAACTGGATACTAGACGTTTCAGGTAGCATCCACTAGCAGTCACTGACGTGACGAAATGTAGTGGATGCTGCCTGAAACGTCTGACCATTTTCAAAATCATATCCAGTTAACTGCGTATCTTGTGGAACATCCACTCCTTGAAGAATACATGTTTAACAAAAGGAAATCTAATACATCTATAATGATTCTATGGAACTTTTTACCGTAAAAGTCATCATCAAAAGTCCATAATGAATTTGAACACTACAATGATGAATCTTGTAGCATTAAACACCTCTACCAGGATGCAGCTGGAAAGAGTAGAAATTGGCCAAATAGACAGATAACATGGCAGGGGAGTTGGCCTGCTAAAAAAAAACTAAACGAGTACAGTTTGCCACTCCGATAACATGCCAACTCCCCACGCATGTTATCCCTCTATTTGGCCAATTTTTACTCTTTCCAGCCGCCTCTAAAGCCAGGTAGACCCTACCTAAGCCACTGACCTGTCTAGAAGTGCCAACAGTGCCAGCCTGTCGTACGTGACTTTGATGGTTTTCCAGGGGAAGAGCGGGAACCTGTAGTTGTACTTCACCTTCTTGGGCGGGGGCTTCTCCTCCATGCAGATGATGTTCCTGATACCCTCGGAGTCAGGAGTCGAGTTGTTGTCATCGTCCTGGCAACAATCATCATCGTCATGTCAGTGGAGATTGAGGATGTACATTTTGATGCACTTGTTTTATTCTTGAAGACAATAATCTTACTTTCAAAGAACTGTGCTTGTAATTTTCTTGATAGAGACAACATTGAAATCTGTATCTACATCTCAGTATACCTTGTGTAACTTTTACACAACACACCAGCTGGCATAATCTGTATTGCTGGCATAATAAAACCGGATTTGCAGGCACGTGACACAGTGGCAGCTGGCTACATCACATGAAACGGCCTGTTACCCCTAATAACCTTTTCACATCTAACTGCAATCATTGTTTAAAGCTTTTGAGGATACCCCTCAATATTTGTATCTGTACAACCAAAAAAGAGGATACCACTCAAAACCGTGCCTTACCTGATTTCTCTGTGTAATACTGTCTGTGTACAGCCTTACCTGATTTCTCTGTGTAATACTGTCTGTGTACAGCCTTACCTGATTTCTCTGTGTAATACTGTCTGTGTACAGCCTTACCTGATTTCTCTGTGATACTGTCTGTGTACAGCCTTACCTGATTTCTCTCTGTGATACTGTCTGTGTACAGCAGGTGTCGGTTCCTATGTTGCCTGGCAACAGACCCGGGGATGTCGGGAATATCCAGCAGGTGGGACTCGGACTTGTTGTCGATGACGACAGTGGAGGAGGAGCTGGAAGAACCGGTCTCCCTGGAGACGGACGTGTCAATCATTAATGGTTGCCATGGCAACAGCACAGGTGGAAGGGTTTCCATGTTCAATGACTTATCTTTCTTTCTATCTACTTATTTCCTAGAGACTGTGTCTCAAACAATGAAGTGCAATACAAAATAAAGCATACTATTAAGTCCATATGAAGACCTCCTAAGCACAGTGAAGAAATGGCAACTGAAGTGGTAAGGCCACATGTCACTGTCATTAGGACTAGCCAAAACTGTCATTCAATTTCAAAGAACAGTAGTATAAAAGAAAAAGGGGTAGGCAAGGGAAAAAATGGGAGAATAACATCAAAGAAAGCATAGAAAAAGCATGATATGATGCTTCACCTCTGATGAGGATGACCAACAACAACAACATCAGAGAATGGACATAAGTGAAACATTAAGAACAGAAAACCAAGAACGTAGAAAAACTGGTTGTCAGATCATCTGTGGTGAAATATTATGACTACGGTACAATAGATGAGATGAATCTCGTGTTTAACTCCTGGATGCTAGTCTCCACCAGACTCCTTTTGCAGGCTGAATAAACAGTAGAAATCGGCCTATAGAGGGGACATCATTCACCAGAGGAGTCAGCTGCCCAGAGAAGCTCCATTTTGCAGTGCACACAAAATATTTAGGCCGACTTCTACTATTCATTTGGCCTGCAAAAGGAGTCAGGTGGAGACCACCTGGACGCCATTGTTAGTACATTTCTCTCTGCAGCTAACAAACTGGACAGACGTCACCCACCATTGGTCATTCAGCACTTCCACCAGTGGATCAGGAATGGCCTGGATGGCCGGCACAGCCACACCTGCACTGTTGTCATCAAACGTGTACGTCAGCCAGTTTCCTGCAGATATATGTTTGATTGTTTGTTTGTTTGTTTGTTTAGTAGGAATCTCCATTACTAAAAAATAATCATGAATTTACTAATTTTCATGGAGTCATTTCTTATACATTTGTTGTACTTCTAGTACAAATATTAATACAAAAGGATGCCATTTTATACAACTCTATATCAATCCAGTGCAATAGCTCAATAGGGAAGAGTGCTTTCTTTCTACCATATTACTGCACCAGGAACGGGACCTTTTTTTAAATATAAAATCTACCCTAAATAGAATTGTGCCAACTTAACAGGCACTGCGAAAATATAACAGCATAAATTACGACCAAAGGTCATCAGTATAGGCAAACTTTTAAAAAGTGAAATGAGTATGGAGAGAGATTGAGCACAACAGAACTGACATATCACTAGTTTTATCTTTCCTAAACCTCATCTGTATAATTTTAGTTTTTTTGCTTGGTACAAATTTTTTATGTATTATAGTGTATATGAGGGTGTGTATATATTGTTTACCTTGCCTACTGTAACTTTTTTTTCTGTACGCAAACTCTTTCAATTCAGGGATTCTCATTCCTGCTGCAAGGTTTGCTTTTGGTGTTTGAAATAAATAAATCACGAATCACAAAACATACCGAACTCGTCCTGGAAGCAGTGCACGGCGCCCTTGGTGGTGTCCTCGTGTGACATGGCGAGGTGCGTGTTCTCCGCCATGTTCAGGGACGTCAGCAGCGTGGAGGGCGGCGTGGTCTCGCGCCGGCGGATGGCCTTGTGCCGCTCGCGGCGGGTGGCGGTGCGCCGGTCTGTC